GAATGGTGCCCTACAAGTCCCAGTTATATTTTGTCAAAATACTAAAATGAAACAACCTCTCCAGTGGGAGAGATGGGCCTGGCTCCCTCCAGAGCCACCCGATGGGCTGCTGCACAGGCCCTCCTGCCCCTCCACTTCCTGTCATGGCTGGTCAGAGCCTGGTGGCATCACCAGGCCCAGGCAGGCTTAGATTTTTTAATAATCATACTAGAATATTTTCACAACACTTTGAGGTAAACTTTCCAATAGATATAACAAATAAAAATGCTGCATGTCATCAACAAGTGGCTTAGCCTTGCTGAGACCCCATGGCCACGTCAGTGACACCTGTAGAGAAGCCCTTGCCTGTTGCATGGCGCGGATGAGACGTGTGTGCACAGCGGCATGGGGGAGCCTTGCACTTGGTCCTCCTTTCGCTCCACTCCTCAGGTGACGTGGAGGGGTGGCTTCCTTTTGAGGCCGTAGTTCTTCACCTCAGCTCCATGTTAGAATCCCCTGGGGAGCTTCAGAGATCCAGTGCCCAGGCCACGCCCCAGATCAGTGAAATCAGAACTCGGGTGGGGAGCAGAGCTGGAGACCGAGATGCTGTGTCATCAGGCCTATGCACCCGAGACTGGGGGACTCAGGAGCCAGGTGCTGCTGCTGAGCTGAGCTGAGCTGAGAAGCCCTTTCCTGTTTCAGCTGCTGCCCCAGGACGCATGGGCCAGCAGCCTGGCTCCATCCCAGCCGCTGCATCCAGCACTCGGGACCCAGGCGTGTGAGGCCAGCCGTGAACAGGAACTGGTGATGCATGGGGTTTTCCGGCCTTCAACCAAGGGAACCCCAGATAGATTCCTTCTGTAGATGGTTGGTTTTGGGGGGCTGTGGTAATGGAGGAGTGGGGTGTGCTCGGCAGGTAGAGTGGACAGAGCTGTAGAAGATTTCAAAGTGGGCAAGAGGCATAATCAATTGGTAGCAGTTTCCTGAGCGCTGTGCACAGAAGGATCCTAAAGTTGATGGTGGGCTCAGCCAGGCGGAGTCTCTGCTACAAGCCTGGGAGGGTGAAGGGGCTGTCCCAGGTCTGTGGGGTCCATGGTGTCCACCCCAGGACTGTGGGAAGCATTGCAAGTCTCAGAAAATATTTCCGTACTTCTTTCTCCATAGGGATAGGGATCCAGTTACATATCCTTTAGGTTAAGCTGTGCCTTTGGCCAACACGCATAATGATTAGGTTCCTATTATAAACATTACTAATAATGATGCAAAAATCAATCTGTACTTGTTAAAAAATAATTTGGAGCATCAGTGTTTTAATGAATCATGAGTTGGGGGGAATTCCATTCTCTCCGTTCTGATCCTCTTTTGTAGAGAAGTTGGCTCCATTATCTTGCTTATATTTTTATAAAGGTTTTAATTTAAGGAGTCTCAAAGAAGGTTTTTTTTTAAAGGGGATAATATTGCTCCCTCTCACCCCACCCCACCCCCCATCCAAAGCTGCCAAAGAGCTGAGCTGCAAGAGGCAGCCTGGGGGGCACCCTAGCCCACCCAGCCAGAGCCCATAGTGTGGCCTGGGAGGGATCTGTCATCACCCCTTGCAGCTCCAGCTTGCTTACACGTGAAATGTGGCAGACAGCAAATCAGAGACTTGCAAGCCTGGGATGGTCAGTGGAAAACTTATAAAAATCCAGAGAGTCCTAGGCCCCACTACAGGCCAGAGGGTCAGCATCTTGGGAAGGGGGCCTATACGTCTGCAGTTAGCCAGGTCTCGGGATTCTTAAGTGGTCACAGGACTGAATGCTCTTCAAGATTCCTTCCTGATCAGAAATTCCGTGGATCTGAAGTTAGTTCTGCCAGTGCTCACCATCTCCCCGTGGAGGGAGAGCACGCTTTGGCAGGGCTCAGCCTCTTTGCCAGGAGGGCAGGTTTACATCACGTTCTCTATACCAAGAAGAGAGCTGGTGTTTCTTTTGCCAGTTGCATGACCCCCAAACTGAGGAGATCTGGACCCATGAGCAGTAGATGGCAATTGGTTTACCTAAGAGAAGTCATCTTAAGGCCAGACTGCCACTGGCAAGTATCTGTGGCCTCTGACTCCATCCTGCAGACAGGAGAGATGGGGCTTGCCACAGACACTGGCCCGGCCAGCCCCATTTGCACCGGGTGGGTGTGGATGTCAGTCACTGACCCCGTGCCAACTGAGCTGCTCATCCTGGGTAAGCAGGCTCTTACAGCTCATTTCCTCCACACTGCTGGGGTTTTTCTTTAAGCTTTAGCTGCAGGTTTTAATTTCTGGTTCTGCCATTGGCTCAGCATCCCCTGGCTGGTGGGCTCGAGGAGACCCAAGGAGTCAGCTGAGCCCCAGCCCCCTACCATGCCCTGGGTGGCACAGTGCTCCTGGGAGGAAACCACTCGGCCCGTCACTGCCCTGTGGAGGCCCTGGGAGCACAGCCTTCCTGTCCCTACCTGCCGCCTCTGGCTGCCAAGCTGGCCTTGAGATGCCCCTTGGCCCCGGCTGAGCTCGGGGATCCCGAAGCTCCAGTGAGTCAGATACGGCCACAGGACCAGCCACAGGGGGAGGGTGTCAGGGTCCGGGGTTCGGCCCAACTGGCCAGGCCATCAGGCGTGATCATCATGGCTTTCAAAGAAGCTTTGCTCTAGGACAGCAGAAGGAAAGGGCACACCTGGGCTGAGGCACAGGAGGACTGTAGGGGCCCCGGCCATCCTGCCTTTGCTGTCAACAGTGCAGTTCCCTGCTGATGACCCTGTGACCTCAGGGACACCCCCAGGCTCTTAGGCACTGCACTGAGCAGGGCAGGCACTGCAGGTGGGGAGGAGCCCGGCCAGGTGGGTTCTGAGTTCCTCCCCCAAACCTGGTGAAGCCCCCAACCCTGAGCTGAGAGAAGGGGCTGTGGTCACTGTGGGACTCAGTGGCACATCAATTATAAGGACAAGGGGGAACACTATAGGGGCAGCTCCAAAAAGTGAGACAGCAGTCCCCTAGGGCTTGGTCATTCAGGGAGAAGGCCCCTCTGCCTGGCTGCTGTGGAGCAGGAGGCCCCTCCCGGGAGAGGTGCTGGACGCCTCCGCACCCTGTCACCTGCCGTCACGTGGCTCCCAGCCATAGCCACACACACAAATGGGGGAGCAGTTTGCACCTCAAAAGGAGCCTCACATAATACCCGCATTGATTTTCCTCCCTCTGCGGAATGCTGGGGAAATGTGCTGCAAGATTCTGTGAGAAGTTGGGGAATGTTCTATCCTCGTTATTGTTCTGGTTTAGTGAAATTTGTTTAGCCTTTAATGTCTTATGGTTTCTTATCAATCAGGAAATAGATTCATATTCATTCTCTCTCTGTGTGTGTGTCTCTCTCATAAAAAGACATTTTAAAAGTCTCATAAGTATTAAATGACACCAGCTAGAAGAGTCTGCCATGAACCTGGGCTGAAATATTGCCGTTTTCCTTTATGGGCATATTTTACATCCCGTAGTTAACAGGCAGCGGGGGCCTCTGAGAGACCTGAAGCGTTAGTAGTGGAAAAGATAGCAGGTACAGAAAAGAACTTCCGGAGACTCTCACAGGGCACGGCAGTTCAGCTTCTCCAGGCTTGTGGACTAAATCAAACCATCCCGTCACCCTGGCAGGCTGAGGGTTACAGAAACCCTGCAGCTGTGGGTCCCTGGGCCGGCCTTAACTCCCACGTCCATCCCTGCTCCAGGCCTGAAATGCTGTGGCCCCTGCAGAAAGAACCCGCCCCCACTGGTAAACGGGTCACTTTGACTCTCCCTGGTCCCCTCCCTCAGCAGAAGCCACCCCCTAAGCCCTGCCTACACATGCATGACCCAGAGCCTGGCAGTCTCCTCCCCAAGCCAGATAGAGAGGAGTCAGCCTGCAGGAGCCCATTGCCCAGCCGCCGTGGGAGACAGCCTAGGCTGGAGAAGATGTGAAGTGGGCTGACGTGGGCTGTCCCGAGAGACCGCAGATCTGCTGGATATGTCAGAGGGGAAATGGAAGCAGGAGACAGAGGCTTTTGGTTTATGGTCTGTGGAGGGGGCTTCTCTCCCTGGCCGCCACAGGGAGTATGGCATTACTCAGGGCTCCTCTGGGGCACCAGCAGTGGCCATGCTCAACGGTTTTGTTTTTCCATGAGTAGTAGCTATTATCAAAAACCTATGTGTGTGTTTTAAGCCAAGTTCCAAAGTAGTTATTTCATTTATTCAACAAATAGGACAGAGCTGCAGTCGTGTTTTCCAGCACCCACAGGACAGAGGTGGCTGGGAGCTTTGGGCTTAGGGGAGCTGGGAGGCTCCCCTCACCCCTGCCCACTTTGTGGGCATGGGCGCAGCCCCTTCTGATGCCTCCCTGGCAGTCTCCCATCCTTCCATCCAGGAGGGTGCCTGCACCCTGGCCTTGCCCTCAGAAAGACTTCATGGGATGTTCCCCACGAGGATGAGGGTGGAGGGGTGAGGGTGGTCCCGTGGCTGTAGGGACAAAGGGAGAAATGTCTGATGATTTGGAGCATCTGCTCTGGGCCAGGGACTTCCTGGGCAACAGTCCTTGCAGACACCCTGCAAACCGTGCTTCATGGCTCACTGTGCAGATGCGGAAACTCAGGCTCTGTGAGGCCAAACCCACCAAGGCCACTCAGCTCGTAGAGGCAGAGCAAACAGCCCCAAGTTGGTGCCCTGTCCTCTCCCAGGCCCTGTCCCCCGACTCCCCTCATCCTGGTCGTCCAGAGAAGAGGAGATGCCAGCTGCTTCTCACTTCGGTGTCCTTAAAAATCCCTGTGGTGCTGGGCTCACACAACACAGCGTTGCATTTCTACCCACACCAACCGGCTCCCATGGCATCAGATCAGACACAGGGACTTGCAGGAAGCCACAGGCAGTGTCAGAGAGTCACCACTTCTCCAGTGTTCAAAGCCACTGCCCAGGCTTCCAAGAGAGCGGGGCCTCTGCCACCACCTAGGCGCCACCACTTAGGCTGGTGTGGCTCACCTGCTGTCTTGTGTTCTCTCAACAGCAAATGAAGCTTGCAGCCGAGAACCTGAAGGAAGAATCGAGGGTAAGCGGGAAGGAGACAGAGACCTGAGTGTGCAGTGCGCCCTGCTGCCCTGTCCACGGAGGCCTGTGTCTGCGCCACACCGGCCGCTTGTGCGTGGGCAGGAAGGGTGCCCAGGGCAGCATCGTGGCACCTGAACCCAGACCCAGTGCTTGGCCAAATGAGGTGGTGCCCAGGTGGCAGACGCCCTTCTCACTCGCAGTGTCCCGGCTCAGGGTGGGCAGAAGAGGACGGCCAGGACCCTCGGCAGCTCGTGGCAGTTCCCAGCCCTGCCCCGCCCTGCTCCTTCCAGGTTCCCTCCCAGCCCCACGTGCCGCTCCAGCCACCTGGCTTCGCTCCAGAGCCACTGCCGCGCTTGGGCCTCTCACCACGAATGAGCCGCCAGCTCTCCATGTTGCCCTCACAGTGACGGTCACTCCCGACCCCACCAGGGACCCACAGACAGGATGGGCGTGTGCCCGCTGTGCCCTCCACGGGAGCCGTCTGAAGAAATGCTCCTGCTGAGCCTCGGCTGCAAGCGGAGCGGTGCAGAGGCAGCGTTGCCCACACCCGGACCTCTTTCCTTTTTCTCTGTCGCAGTGTGTTCGCAGACCCCTTGTCAACAGAAACAATGGTCACTGAGCTATTAAAGGCGATCTGCATCTCTCTGACCAAATGGCCCGCTCTGTCCCGGAACAACCCCTGGGTGAGATCACCGAAGGTGGAGCAGCAGCCTGGGGAGCCGAGGGCAGGGGCTTGATGGGACGGGAGGCCGGGCGCCAGAGCTTGCAGCCCAAGCCCAGCCCGTTGTTCTTGAGAGCTGCTGCTGCTGCTGGCGCCTGCCCAAGGGAGCCGGGAGGGCGCTAGGGCTGCTCTCGTGTGGGGTGTGCACGCTGCAGGCCTAGGGCCAGTGGCCACTCCTGGCACTGTGACGTGGGCTCAGGCCTGCACAGAAGGGCCACCTTTGTCCGGTGGTGCTGTCCACCTCCCTAGCTGTGTTGATGCTTCTTGTTCACAGGCGTGACAGCCCTGTCCACAGTACAGCCCTCCAGGCACAAAGGCCGCGGCCCTAGAGCCCCTGGCTTCTCCCCTGGCTGTGGTCTAGCTGTGAGGACCACCCTGCAAGGACAGGGTCTGGTTTCCTAGCCATCCTGCCAGCTGTTGAGACCGTGCTCAACATTCAGCCTCATGACACAGGAGGCTCAGGTAGCCCCTCCCCACCAGCACCCGCTGTCCCTCACAGCCCAGACACTGCAGCCCCGGGGGCGCTTCTACTCGGAAAGCAGCTGATGCCTGGTCCACCCGGGGAAGACGGAGAACAGGGCTGACGTGCTTCCTGGTGGGTGAGACTTGTCCCCTCAGCTCAGGGACCTGGTCCCTTGATTCCCTCCCTCCCCTCAGTGATGGGGTGGCCTCATCAAGCCAATTGAAGCATCCCTTGTTTTTGGAGGCCCGACTCTCCCCACCTGCCACTTCTTGGTGGCTTGTGTCGGTCCCTAGCAGCTGTTGTGTTTTCCAGTGTGGACATGTTTGAGTCTCTTTGCCCCTGCCCTTACTTGGGATAAACCACTCCAAGACATAATTATTCAGTGCTTGTTCAGTGTTTGACAGACACTTTTAGAATAGACTCATGTTTTAAAACGTCAGTGAATGTCAGCCACTAATATGGGCCTGAGCCCCGAGACCCCAAGATCTGCCTCCCATCCCAGCTGGGGCTCCTGGGTGCCCGGAAGGTGAACCCACCAGCTCAGCTCGTCTGTTGCCCGCGGTCATGGCTGCCCCTGAGCCAGGCAGCCTTTCGCCAGGCTGGCGCTCCTCTGCGCCAACCAGTTCCCTGTGCGCGTCACTGCGTCCTTCCCAGAAGCCTCCCTCCTCCCCCATAGTGTCCGACTGGGCACAGCGAAACCCCTTAACCAAGCCTCAGCCAGTCACTGCACAGGGCAGAACGGGCATGTGGCCATCCGGGAGGATGGATGTGGGAACCAGCCAGCTTGTGATGTGACAAGAGGGAGGTTGGCGGGAAGGGGAGCCTGCATCAGTCTGCTAGTTCCTCTGCTCCCCAGCGCTCAGAGTAGGTGGCATCTGGCACGTGGCCGGTGCTCAGGAATCAGAGGCACAGTTGGAAGGGGTGTGGAGGAACAACGTGTCCTGCCCTCTGCCTTATTACCTTAATCGGATTGAAGAGGACATCTAGGTGGATGCTGTCGCATCCTCCCACCCACGCACTGGCCTCACCAGCCCCTTCATTCCCTTCAGTCACTGTCACCATCTGGGACCCTCGCCCCACCCTGCTCCCTTCACTTCCCTTCATCTCCCAGCCCTTCAGGACTGGCTCACCCACTGTTCTGTTGCTGACCTCCCCTCAGCCTTCAGATCCAACCCACGCCACTGCCCTGTGGGCCACAGTGGGGGGGGTCCTCCTGTGACCCCCCCAACCCACCCCAGCTAGCTGCTTAGGACCCCTGGTGACCCACACCCAAGAGAATGTCCCCACTCTGCCTACCCAGTACTCCCAGCACCCCTGAGGACTCCAGCTGAGTGAGCACCCACCCCAGAATGTCCCTAGCCCACCTTCCTCCACAGTCCCCAAGAGCGGGGAGACACCGCTGGCTGTGAACGGACACGGACGCCTGGTGAAGGACAGGCACGCAGAGGCCTAGCCCCAGGGTGCGAGGCCTCAGCACGTTTAGGCAAGTCCAAACCCCTTGCTTCTCAGGCAAGGGCGCAGGGCCAAAGGGGAGAGGGGCTGGCCCATACCGTGGTGAAGGACAGGACACTGAAACCAGTCTCCTCCAGTCACCAGACAGCTTCTCAGGAGGACGGCGGGAGAGCAGCTGTGGGGTAGGTGGAGGAGAAAGAGCCTAGGCCACCCAGGGAGCCCCGAGGCCCAGGGGAGGCCTGTGCTGGGCCCAACTCTGCTGTGCAGGCTGTCCTACGGGCCCCGCCAGGCAGGGGACCCAGCCAAGGGACGCTCTGGAGACCAGCTACTCCTCCGAGTTGCCCGTGTGGCACAGAGGGGCCCTGCCACCTGCCACCCCAGCAGCAGCGCTGCCTCAGCTCCACTCCCGCCTCACCACAGAAGGCCGCTGGGGACGGGTTTCTCCTGTGACTGTGGCACACACCCACAGATTGTCACTGGGCGTTGACCCCAGTGGGGTTTGGCCCTGGGTCCAACTCACTTCACAGCCCCACTCTCCTCTCACACGGCCAGCCAGTGCCACTGACATTTATTGGGCTGTCTCCCCACACAGGTGGCTCCTCGCACTCTCGGGGGCACTGAAGCCCCTACGCCAGAGGCCGACAGGAACCCGAGCATCCCGGGCTGCAGCCTTGGACCAGGGGGATCAGGCAGTGGACCCTTCTCTCCTTCCTGGAAGCCACACTGACACACACACACACACACGCACACACAGCAGCTCAAAGCTCAGACTTGAGAACAAATCTTTATTTTAGTAGCTTTTGGTAGCAAACAAGCAAATGTTTAGGGACACCCAGCTCTGTGGCAAAGCTGGAGGGCCAAGAGCCCACTGTGCTCCTCAGCACACCGTCTGGGCCGCGGTTTCCACACCTATGATATGTACCCATTTCATAGATGGGGAAACTGAGGCATGCAAGGTTCAAGTGACTTCCACAAGTTCTCACAGCAGTGTGGCCCTTTCCCACAGGCCTATGTCTGCCCACATCTGCCCTTTGCTGTCTGCCGGGACAGTGCTGCTGTCCCAGGCCCCTCTGCCCCACGGCCTCCCCCAGCACCTGAACCCCAAGCCCTGCAGCTCCTGCCCTTCTTCTAGCAGGAAACTAGCAACGAAAAGGCCGAAGGCTGCAGGACAAGGACTACAGGGTCCAGACTGGTCTTTAACAAGTCTTGAGAGTCCCATGGCCCTGCAAGGACGGTGCCTGGAGCAGTGCCTCAGTGAACAGCCAGCTAACACAGCCCCTAGCGCACTGCTCGCGGGTCAGCCAGGCCTGAGGAGCCGCCAGGCTCCAGGCTCCCCTGCCTGGCCTCCACACCACACCCAAAGGTGGCTTGAAGAGAAGGGACCTGACAGAAGCTGGAGCCTCTAGCACCCCCGGGGACCTAACAGGACCTGGAGGAAGGGCTGGACCTCTGCCGGGACAGCCACATCCTCAGGCTTGGAGCACGCTTCCATCCCAACCACGAGAGGGGCCACGGCCACTTCAGGGGAAGAAAGACGCTTTTCCTGGTCCCGGGAGGAGGCCCAGCCCGCAGGCACCAGGAAAGGTGTGAGGAGCTGCGTATCCCAACTCTCTGAGAGTCAAAGTTAGGAGGGGGTCTTCTGAGCTAGGCCAAAGGGTCCGAACCAAGGCCTGCGCCAGGGTGTGCACCGAGACCGACCAGAATCAGGGCCCCGTGACTGGGACCAGGCTCGGGAACAGGGCCTCGCTTTCCTCGGAGTGCGGCCGCAGACCCCGAGGAGAGCATCACCTGGAGCTTGTTCCGTGCGGATGCCTTGACGATGCCTCCAGTGGGGTGCTACTGTGCACCGAAGTTTGGGAACCACACGGGGAAGAGGGCCGCGCTGGTTTCTGCCTGGAAGCGGCTGATGCTAAAGGCCCCTGCAGAGCCAGCCCCCTTTCCTGCTGATTGTCACCATGGTGCCAGGTGTTGGCGCCTCTGTGGGCTGCCAGGGATCTGGAGCAACAGGCCTCCTTGGCCTGAGCAGGACCCAGGGCAGGGAGGAGCACAGGGCGGTGTGGGACCAAAGGGCTCCTCCAGCTCCCTCCACCCGCCGATGGATGGCTGACCTCTCCCAGCACCCGTGTGAGCGCCTGAGATGCTTGGCGATTCAGAGGTGGCAGCAGCCTCCACTCGGCTTCTTGCAATTAAACAAGCCAGGGAGGTCTGATGGAGTTTGTCCCCAAGCTGTGGCACAGAGCACGCTGATTGTGGCTCCAGAGAGTGTGGCCTCCTCTCTAGATCTCCCAACACTGGCGACTTTCTTCAGTGACAGGGAAAAGCAGGGACACAGAGCATCGGATGACCAGGCCGCCTCACTCATTCGCAGGTCCCATTGCTGTCTCCCGTGTACACCGGGGACGGGGGTGGGGGGATGTGCAGGCACCGCAGGAAGGGCAGAGCCGCGGGAAGTCCACGCGGCTGATCCTCTGCGGGAGGAAGGCAGAACGCACCCTCAGGTCTCCACAGGCCTGCACAACCAGTCCGAGGGTACCCTGCTGCTCCCACTGGGAGATCATTGCAAATTTCTGCGTGATTAACCAGAAGGGCAACTCCATAGCGCAGCCATGGATACATACCTGCCTTTCACAGCTGCCTAGCTCAGCAGAAAGAAAGCAAGTATGTCTCCACCGAAATGGAGACCAAGAGCCACTCATGGTCACCTCTGCCTCCCCCACCCAGAGAACTCAAGACCCCAGATGGCACCGAGGGTGTGTCGTTGGCAGGTGGATTCCACTGGACAAAGGGAGCCCAACAGCACGGTACAAACGATTGTGCCCATGACGCGCCTGCCGCCACCCGGGGTGCCCTGCCTGGCTGTGGGGCCCTCGGTGGGCCGTTTGTTGTGGCAACTGCTCTCCAGCTTCGAATGGCATCTGGGCCGCTGAAGGAAGGGTGCAGGTTGGGAGCTGCAGTAGTAACTGAATCAACCCAGTGACGTGGCAAGCTCC